CGGTATGTAGGTATCTAGGATTGCTTTACCTGTTAGACCATTGGTTTGCTGGAGTGAAAACAAGTCTGCATCTCTACATTTCACTGAAAAATAAGGCAGGCTTGTTAACCATCAACAAATGGCAATGGGTTAGCTTGAGTTTTATCAGGAGATACTTTTGTTGATATTAGCAGAAACCTTGTCCCTATGCAGACAGTGTATACACCGTTGTGGAAGTTTATTTCTTGAGGTGTAGCCAACTACCTGACCGCATAGCAACACTATTATGCGATTGATGTATTTCCCAGAGTATTGGCTTGGTGAACTATGTTCACATGCAAGTAAGAGCAGTCAGTATAACAGTCATTGGGGATTCTATTCCCTTAAAAAGGTGTTGTTGGGATGTGGAATACCCTGCCAAATAAGGTAGTAAAGCCGAGCCAATTGTGGGTTTCAAGAGGGAAGTAGACATGTAGATGGAGGTTAGAGACTTGAAGGGTATGGCGATGGGGCAGGGCAAATGGGATTGAAAGAAAGGCTTGCTCTGACAGCTAATGCAGACTTTCTGATAAAGAAAGAAACCACCTAAACACATGGATATCTGTGCATATTTCAGTGGGCTGACTGCAGGTGCTGTATATCAAAAAAAGGCAGTAAAACCACATGAATTTTGCATATAAAATTAACCCATTGTTTTGGTTAACTTTCCAAATTAGGACATCTTAATCATATCATTGCTCACCTCTGCAAAACATAAGAACATAAGAATTGGTTAGACAAAAGTAGACCAAAGTCCATCAAGTTCGTCTTCCACCACCCTGGCAGTCATATGCACATGTCATGTCCCAAACTATATATCTCAAGATATTATTGCTTAAAAGAAATCTTATCTAATTTGCTTTTGAAAGAATCAATACTTTCTGCTTCCACCGTCTACCTAGGAAGCCTGTTCCATATATTTCTTTCTCGCTCACTGAAATAGTGTTTCCGCAGAATTCGTTTTGAATTTACGTCCCTTCAATCGCAGACCATATCATGGCCTTACATTATCCAGTCCCAGTCCAATCCTAAAAAACCCTATCATCTCAACCTTCCCTTTCCCAGCGTGAATAACCCCAGTTTACTTAATCGCTCCTCGTAATCCAATCCCACCATCCTCTCAATAATTCTGGTTGCCCTCTTCTGTATTCTCTCCATCACTGCAATATCCTTTCTGTACATCAGCGACCAGAACTGCACACAGTATTTCAAGTACGGTCTCTCCAATGATTTACAAAGTGACATGATTACCCCCCTATTTCAGCTCAACATTGTTTTTTTAATTACAACCCAGCATCTAGTTTGCCTTACAAAAAGCTGTTCAGATATTACTTAAATGGAGTTGATGGACTGCATCTTAAACTGTGGCTCAGTTAGTAAAACAGAAAGAAATTCAAAAATGTGTCCTCTTTGTGCAAGCAATTTTTTACAAATTGCCTTGCAACAGGACCCAATAATTTTCATATGGCTCTTACCTGTCTGTGTCTCATTGTGTCACACACCTTTGCAGACTATGGCATGGCGCATTTGTGCTAAATTAAAAAAAAAGTTTTAAGAATGTCGTTGCAGTCTGAAATTCCATAATGTATAGAGAGTGTAAGTGGAAAAATGCTGATTTTTTGGGCGGATACTGTCAGATGCAAGCATTATTCCTAAAAGGATATCTAAAGATGATAATAAACACTATAAAGAAGCCAATCATAATGACGAATGGGGCAGCAGGAGTATTAGCATTAAGCAGTGTTCAAGGGGTTGCTTCGGTTAGTTAAGCACAGCAACAGAATCAAGGGGCAGGAGAGAAGATTGGTATTCTCATTACTTTAGAGAATGTCCCTCAATGGCAAGTAATACACAATCACAAAAGAATAATAAGGTGTAAAATATCCAGTCACACCACTTTACAGTATATCCTGTGAAGCACATTGGGACGTCTCGACAACGTGTTCCATATCAGATTCAAGGATTATAATTATTATTAGGATTTGCGGACCTAATCATAATAATCCTTATATTTGACATAGTGCCTTATCACATCTTTGAGGCATCTGAAAGCGCTTCACAAAATATACTGTAAAATGAATTGACTGTATATTATTGTGCGCTGATGCATAATGTATGTGTCATTGTCTTGTACGTTTATATACACGTATCTCAATTGATTATTACATCATAATGAAGAGCAACAGTTTTGTTCACAGATAGTAAGACCAGAGTAGTCTATTGTTTCAGCCGGGTTTAAGTTGCATATTGCATTGACACTTGTGGAGGGCACAATATTGCCCCAGGGCAGCATAATAATGTAAGTACGATCCTTCAGCTCGTGCTTATTTGAAGGGTTTTGCAGAAGCTAACATATATGTTGACTGTATTCCTTAAATTCCTGTGCAATATCACTGGGTTGAATTTTATAGAGAATTACATTTTGTAAAAGTGCTCATTTCCAATTTGTTTATTGGTTTGGGCTCAAGATGTGAACTTGAGATGTGAAAGACGAGAAATATTCTCATTTGCTCTTCAAAACTCTCAATCTTGTCCTTGTTATGTGGATGGAGAAAGACCACTTCACTTCAGCCTCTCTGTTGGTTGAGAGAATCCCTGTGCTTAAAAATGCCATTTGAGTTCAGCAGAAGAGGAAAACAACTGAATTGTCAGTTTCCTCTTCTGCTGGACTCAAATTCTGTCTTGCGGATAACAAATGGGTCAAGACCTCACTGTATGAAAATCCAAGATGGTTCCACAATACTGAGAAGATAAAGAGATGGACATTTGAAGGAAGGGGAGTGAAGTATCATGAGAAATGTATTATGAAATCCATCAAATTTGACCTGACTATGCACAGCATTTGCTATCACCCATGCTAGGAAATGTTTTGATATATAATTATATATCCCTTGTGTCAGCCTGGTGCAGTGTCAGCTGGGTGCAGTGGTAGCACTCTCGCCTCTGAGTCAGAAGATTGTGGGTTCAAGCTCCACGTCAAGACTTAGAATCACATAGTCTAAGATGACACACCAATACAGTGCTGGGGGAATGTTGCATTGTTGGAGGTGCCATCCTTGGGATGAGATGTTAAACCGGAGTACCATCTGCCTGTTTAGATAAAGATCTGTTAAAGATTTGATGGCTATATTTAAAAAGAGAAGGGAGTTTCTCCCAGTGTCCTGGCCAACAAATCCCCCCAAATAAAAAATTGGTCACTCACCTCATGCCTCCATGCAAACTGCTGTGCACAAACTGGCTGCCTCACTTTGCCCACGAATTAGTCAATCCATTTACACTATATCCTATGAAGCACTTTGAGATGGTTTGATGATGAGATGTGGTGCTTTATCAATGATTATTATTTTTATTATGTGATCCTTCCAAGCATTAACCTCAATTTTGATTGTTCATTTTATTGGTAGTAATTTTGTTGTGTTATCTTATTGTAGGACAAAAATAATTGCCATTTTTTGTAATATAAAAAGAAATGTCAACAATGTTTGTCTGAATTACACAAGTTTAACTTGTAAATTTTTTATTTGAGTTTTCAGCAACCATCTTGAGATGCATCTAACTTCAAATTGCTTGGTTAAATCCCTTACAAGTTTAAAATGTGCTTCAAGCGCCATGTATTCTATCCTTTATCCCATATCCTTTCCAGTGACCAGGCCTACTGTTTTATGACGTATCAGAGTGGGAATCTTATTACCAATTCAGCATAAGTTTTCAATGTAAGCAATTTGTTCAGATCAAATAATCTCATTGCAGTTGTTCTGATCATCAGCAAGACATTCAGTGACTACCTCCACCTGGTGGGGTTTCAGTTGATAGGGGTTCAAGCAGAATTATAATAATAATAATAATCCTTGCATTTGATATAGTGTCTTATCCCGTCTTTGAGATGTCTCAAAGTGCTTCACAGGATATACTGTTAAGTGAATTGACTGTTTATTTTGTGGGCAAAGCTCATCAGCTAATTGCGCACAGCAGTGTCTCACAAATAGTTGTGATTTGAGTAACTAAATTATTATTTATTTATTTACTTTTTGAAGGGATTATTACCCCCAGAAAAGTGATCTGCCAATCGACTAATCACAGATTGATAATCAAAACCAGTGGTTATATGACTGTGCTCTCCCTCTGCCCCTTTGTCACACGCAAAGTAGAAAAGCAGTCTTTATATAAGAAAAACACACATGCCAGCCAATACTGGAATCATATTCTAGCAATGGGAAGGGAGAGTCTAGATTAGAAATTCCATCCTAGGTAAACCTCTCCTTAACATTCATTAAAATGGAGTTTAAAACTAAATGCTCTCTTTAAAAAAGGCTTTCTGTGATCATTGTCCTTTTAATTGCTAAATATTATTGGAACATAGGAGCAATCTAGTCTGCATTGTGCCTACTCCAATATTTTATTAGTCTTTTTGCAAAGTGCTACAAACAGCTGATTGTCAAATGTTATGCTGACAGGACAATTTTGAGTGTCTTTCACCAAATGCACTTGACCATTTCATAGCTGACCCAAAGTAAACATTTTTTCGTAAGCTCACAGAGAACTTCTGAAGCTAACAGGTCAATACTAATTTCAGACTTTTACATTGTGCAAGAAGAAAATACAAAAGACGTACTTCAAGAATGTGCTACATGAACATGAGAAAGAAGTAATGGTTATTGATGACCCCCCCAAATCAGGAAGAAGATGAGCCCGGTCATGAATTTTTCATAAAATGCTCTCTCTAATTGAATCATAGAATCTTACAGAGCAGAAGGTGGCCAATCGGCCCATTGTGCTTGTGCTGGTTCTTTGACAGAGTTGTCCAACTAGTCCCATTTGCCCACTCTTACCCATAGCCTTGTGTTGAACTTTTGAAGCACAAAATTAAGTGAAAAATGTATTGATGGTGTAAGAATTTACTTGATTTTGTAAAGAAAATGTGCTAGTTTCAATAGATTCTGATTTAATTTTAATGGAATATTTATTTTAAATTTCTCTTTTAGAATTTTCCATTTCAGAAGGAAACTCCAATTAATCACAAGAGCTCACAAATTATCAATTTGAATGGTGACTACCCTGAAAGATTAATTGATCAGCAGGNAAAAAAAGCTTACACTTCAAGAGAATCAATCCCCCAAATAGGACAGCTAGCTCAGAGCAAGAAATCAGATGCCTTTCAACATCCGTAAGTGACCTATATTGGAATGTTAATATTGGAATATTGCAACAATTCAATAATATTTACTATCTTATGAACTGTTTTCTTTTTCAAATAAATGCAATTTGGAGAAAACGTAACAAATCTGACTTGCTGGTAAGCTAAATAAAATGGAAAATTAATAGACAGGTAATGAAAACCAAGAGCCTAACACTCACACTAATTGGGACTGGCTCCATTGTGTACAAGGAAAAAGTGTGGATAATTGGTCACGACGCGAAATACAAATTGATTACGGTTTTAACCAATACAATCTTCCATCAGGTGTATTACGTTCACTGTACTACCAAATTCTGAAGCCCTTCTCTCTGTCTCTCTCTCTCTCTGCTATTCCCTCTGTCTTTGACTCCAGAATCATAGAATTATACAGCACAGAAGGAGGCCACTCAGCCCATCGTGTCTGTGCCGGCTGTTTGAAAAGAGCTATCGAATTCAACCCCACTCCCCCGCTCTGTCCCCATAGCCCTGCAAACGTGTCCTCCCCAAATAATTATCTACTTAACTTGTTGTTCTTAACTTCATTTCCTGGGCAGGAAGTAACGTCAAGGCAGGCATCTTGACCATGTGCCTCCTTACATAATAATTCCTCCAAAACAGCAATAAATTGGTAATTTTCAATTCACGACTGTTTGTGGCACACTACTGTGCGTAATTTGCTGCCGCGTTTCGCCCACAAATATACAACAACAACAAGATTACATTTGTATAGCACCTTTCATGTCGGGAGGACGTCCCAAGGCGCTGGACAGAGTACAGCATTTCAGACCTGAGCTGGGGTTGGGGGGGGTAAGGGAGGGGAGTGGAAGGGGGGTGGCTGATGGCATGGTCGAAGAGGACGGTCTTGAAGCGGGATTTGAAGGAGGCTAAGGAGGGAGCGAGGTGGAGTGACTCGGGGATGGAATTCCAGAGGTTGAGGGACGGTCAATTCACTTTACAACATATTCTGTGAAGTGCTTTGAGATGTCTAGAAGACATGAAAAGCGCTATATCAAATGCAACGTTTATTATTATTATTACTTCTCTCTTAAAAGCTGTTATTGAATCGGCTTCCATCACCCTTTCAGGCAATGCATTCCAGATCCGAACAACTTGCTGTGTGAACAAAAATTCTCCTCACCTCCCCTCTGTTTCTTTTAACAACTATTTTAAATCGGTGCCCTTGGGTTACCGACCCGCCCGCCAGTGGAAATGGTTTCTCTTTGTTCACCCTGTCGAATCCCCTCAAAATGACTTATAAATATTTAGCAGAACTTCCTTGCTTTTGTACTCTATGCCTCTATTTATAAAGCCAAGGATCCCATATGCTTTACAGATCTATTAACCTGTCCTGCCGCCATCATATACCTGTGCATGTGAACCCCCAGGTCTCTCTGCACTTGAACTCCCTTTAAAACTGTACCATTTATAGTCCTCCATAGGCTGTAGATCATCCAGAATTCTGCAGCCTGTGTCCTCTCCCACACCAGGCTCCGTCACCCTATTGCCCCCATCCACACCCAACTGGTTTCCCATCACACAGAGGATACGGTTCAAGATCCTGGTCATCACCTTCAAAGCCCTCCATGGGCTTGCTCCCCCCTACCTCTGCAACCTCCTAACCCCCTATCGTCCTGCTCGCTCCTTCCGCTCAACAGGCTCTGGCCTGCTTCACGTCCTCCGCGTTGCCCCTCCCACCCACCATCGGTGGGCGGCCTTCTGCCACTCTGCTCCTACCCTCTGAAACTCCATCCCGCAATCCCTCTGCCTCGCCCTCTCCCTTGCCTTCTTCAAGACCCATCTCAAGACCCTCCTCTTTGTCCATGCTTTCGATCACCCTGCTTCCCCCCTACCCTCCACCCTCCCCAATTCCGACGCCCAGCTTGGGTCCGAAACTTTGACTATCCAGTGCCTTGGGACGTCCTCCCATCGTAAAAGGTGCTATACAAATGTAATTTTGTTGTTGTTGTTGTATATTGCCTCTCCTTATTCTTCCTCCCAAAATGCATCACCTCATTGTGTCATTGCAAACTTGAAAATTTCCTCTTTATACCAAGATGAGGGTAGTGAAGTTGATGTAGTGTATATGAACTTTCAGAACGTGTTTGATAAGGTGCCACATAATAGACTAGTTAGCAAAATTGAAGCCCATGGGATAAAAGGGACAGTGGCAGCATGGATACAAAATTAGTTGGGAGACAGAAAACAGAGGGTAGTGGTGAATAGTTGTTTTTCAGACTGGAGGACCTAATGCTGACCCTTGGGAGACACTACTGTATACTTCCCTCCAGTATGAAAAACAAATATTCACCACCACCCTCTGTTTTCTGTCTCCCAGCCAATTTCATATACACGCTGCCACTGTGTCTTCATCAATGTACAAGCTACCTTCCATTCACTTCTTTACCTTGTCCACTTTGTTGGCCTCCAATCACGTAATCAACTAATTTATAAGAGGAGAATTATCTCATCTGCCTCAGAGAGCTTCTGCTTTTTGCAATTGCTGCCACCAGTCTTCATTCTCCTTGCTGCATTGTTATTAATCTTTCACTGAAGAAGAGATAATCACTCGTCCTCTATTCCAATGCTCCTTACTGCATTAATGATATCTTGGAAGCCTTTGCCCCTCGTGGAAACGTCTTATAATGAAACAAACAAATACCAAGACCCTTTAATGATGCAGCCAAATTTACTACCAACTTTACTTCCAATACATGTGAAATGCACATTATCTTTGTATTCCTCTTGTGTTTTTTTTTAACATTTTCTTTGCTCCAAAAACATCCTCTGGGTGGCACTGATTGCATTCTGCATTGGTGAGTTTGCTGTGTTGCCAAGCTACCGTCAGGTTTTGGGCCTAACATTGTAACCAAGACCACCAGAGTTCTTCAGTTCCGTTACATTCTCCTCCAACACTACATGGGATTCGTGGCTGAAATTTGCCTTTCTTTAGGAAGTCCTTTTTTCATCTCCTTGTCCAGACATGATTGCAATAACGATTCTCTTTCAAATTAGCGTCAATATGTTCCAGATACACACAGGGCCCAATAGTCACCATATTGTGTTTGGTGAAACTCTTGTTTCAATTCTGAGACCTGCTTCCCATTGGCTATACTGGGAACATATAACTTTGAACCTGGCAGAAACTTTACAGTCATGTTAAGGAATTTTATACCTTGGCTTACTTGAATAGTGGTGAAGCGGCTGAAGAATCAGTGTGGATAATTGTATATAAGATGATCAAAAGCAACTAAATTTACAATTACTGTGGCCATACCCCTTTACTCCATCAGCCCTACTTTATGGCTAATACAATTGTCCTCCTCGTACATTTAACTCACTCTTTGGATCTTTCTGCTAAAGGGAGTTTTTTGTTCAGTGCATCAAGTTTGAATATAAAGTCTTATGTCCTGAAAGGTTTGGTATTTACATATAAGGTAATACTGAATCACAATCTTAAGATATATAAAGAATGCTAAAAAGAAAATGATGTTAGATTGCTTGAGGTACCTGAAGGAGACAGTTTAGCTTCTTGAAAATAGCTGAGGTTTAGGAGTAGAATGCAGAATCCTTATACAATATGTCTGCTATTAATATGGAGTGTGCCAGCTCAGGAAATGATGAAGGAAATTCAATCACAAGAATACTAACTGGGAATATCATGGGGAAATATTGATAACAGCTCTTAAGTGGGCAAGACGTCAAAATAATATGAGCAATTACATTGCATACAGGAAGCAATGACAGAGAGAGAAATTCTAATTGTGTCAGGAATAGTGGTGAAGTGACTGAAGAATCAGTGTGGATAATTGTATCTAAGATGATCATTTTTTTCTGGATAGTTGATTATATTCCTTTTAAAAAGTAGTAGTTTTCCAAAATTAAACATCTTAAAAAGAAGCACCAGGGCCTAATTTGTTGTATTCACAAAATGGATGGGAAATTGTGCTTTGATCCTCAACCTGAGAGGTCAGATAAGTGTAGGTGATATCTCAAAGCTGCCAATGTAAGAAAATATCACAGAACAAAATAACATCTTTCTACACCTTTCCGTTTTGTTCAGAAGCCTACTTTTTCAGACTTTAGCACAAATCACCAACTCTAATCTAATCTCTCTGGCTGCTACAGGAGGCTCAAATAACCACTTCCTGCCTCTTTTGTGTATAACACAAATTACACCTCATTGTGTAAGTTGAAAAAAGTTATAGTATAACAACCAATAGTCTGGGGCAAATTTTACTTAACAAATTACAATTGTAGCCTGAGTGAGTTTTGAGTGAAAACCCAAAAATGCTAGGTCTCAAGTGAAATGTGTCAAGAAATCAAAGTGTTCCTGTTCAGAATGCCAAAAATTGATCTAAGCATCACCTTAGTGAACAGTGAAACCTGTAACTGCTTTGATTATTTGTTCTGTAATTTGTTAGAGTTAATGTTACATATTTATACGTATATTCAAATCTAATGATTTTTTTTTTGAAAAGACCAAATCTACAAATGAAGGGTCAGAGCAATACCAAGATGAAGCAGGATAAAGGAAGTGAGGGGACCAAGACAATTGAACATTTGAGAAAAAGGTCAAGTTTACATGGATCACTATTTATTAGAAAGTATTCAGCAAACAAATCGTGAGTATTAACTTTTAAATCAATAGTTCTAACTTTCAGCTTCTAAATCTTAATTGTGTTTCTGTTTAATCGGCAGTAGAGGCTGAAAATAGATTGATGCAAGTACCTCAAATCTGTGCAATACCGTTTATTGTAATGTATCAATATGGCATATCTATTTTAACATTAAATAATAATCTACAGATACGATTAGTATACTGATAGTGACCAATTTACATGTTTATTTGTTTTTGGACCAATATATTGTTGTAGCACTTCTATTGGATGGTCCGAAGAGTTAAGTGAAACTTCTTCAGAGAGTGATGAAGAGGAAGAACAAATTGATAGATCTCATGAATCCAACACTGATTTGCCTTCTGAGTACTGGCAGATGCAGAAGTTGGTTAAATACCTCAAGGTAAGGACATGTCCAGAGTTTCTTCATTGTTAAACCCATTTCTCAGATCTTCAGTTTCTTTTTTGTGTTAAGTACTGATATTTCCATCAAAACCTGATAATTACAAGTTTATCGGACAACGCTCCCATATTAGGTGTCAGCCTGGCTTAGCTGACAGCTCGCACTGACGACTCTGAGTCACAAGATTGTGGATTCAAGCCCCACATTCAGACTTTGACATCACAGCTTCATTCTGCAGGTGAACTCACAGTTCAGTCTTCCAACACAAGGCTGGCACTCTAACGCAGTGCTGGGGTTGTACTGCATTGTTGCAAGTGCTGTTCTTTAGATAAGTTTAAATTGAAGTACCCTGTCTGCCTGTTCAGATGCAACACAATTTTACAATGCAATTTACACGTATACACTTATCAGTAACTTCTGATGGAACTATAAAAGTCAAGTTAAATTTTGAATCCCTTCAACAGTAAACAGTCTACAAATAACCATTATTCAGGTACACACGTGAAGAATAGCAACTTGGACAAAGTAATGAACAACATCACAATAAAATAATAATATTCCTCCATAAATTTGTGACTCCAAGTGAGTCTTTTATGTCAGGAAGGCATCTCAAACTACTTGACAATGCCAGCACGGCACCCAAGCTTTGGGTGGAAGCCAAAGGGGTGGGCAGGGGAAAGATGACTGAAAGCGCGATCTAGAATAACCTCTCTAGATCAAATAATAATTTGATATAGCACCAGTAGCTGAGTGTTCTGGAAGAAAGAGATCAAATAGACAAAAAGGGCCTGAAGCTCAATTATCTGAAGCTCACTTATGACCTTGTGAAGTGGAAGTGATACAAAATATATGCAACAATGCATGTGCAGTTGATAGCTGACCACCAGAAATGATTAAGAATTGATCAACAACTCGTATTTGTTTATTCTTGATGCGCTTAATATCCACATAGCCTATAATGTATTACAGTTAAGAATATACCATTATGGAAATGAATCTGACAAGTATCAATAAATGTCCAATTCAAATCAAGACAAAATTTAAATCAAGACATATGAATTAAAACTTATTTTCCCGTAATTATTAACTGAAATTATTTAGCGTTCAGTACAACAATACACCATCGCAGGAAAATAATCTGGTATTTGAATTACACAATATACTCATATAACAACATATGTTTTAGTAACAGAAATTGAGTTCAGTTTTAAGAATGTGAGCATGAAGCACTTTGTTTCTTTAAGTTAACAAAAGTTTAAAGCTATGCCTTTGTGCTCTAGGAATATGTATCATGCAGTATGTCACCACTAAAGTCATTTCTGCTGCATATGTTGCACACCTGCATAATAATCGTTTAATGTAAAATATTTAGGGTTGTAGTTTCTTGGTGCCTGAATAGAGTCAAGATCTGGTTAACCACAAGACGTTTGTTTTACAAGCAAAATGCCAATTGCCTAATTCGGCAATATCACTTGTAATTGGCAAGAAAATTAATAGTTTTCAAAGAAATTCAGAGATTATGTGTTGATTAGGTAAAACTATTTTAATGCAGATTCAGTGAACTAATGAGCATGCTATATTTACTGAATAACAAGACAGGCAGTCAGAACTCCTGGAGCTGAACAGCTGGGGAGCACAGCAGCTAAATAAAATATTACAAAAAACAGGTTTGCAGCAATGATGTGGTCTGCAGATGTTTGCAAAGACTTTCTGGAAGGATACCAAAAGCCTGGTCTCTGGTTTGTTTTAGAATTCAACAGGGAATAATTATAGTCTTTATCAGATTGAAAAATCTGACCATAATATGAAAACAAAGATTTTCTTTTAATTTGAGACCGAATATATTCAGGCTTTGAAATGTACTTGTGTGCTCTTCTTTTGATGTGGGTCAAAGATTTCTACATGCAGTGTCCAGAACCAATACTATAGTTATTTACTAATGTTTATTTAGTTATATTTATTTATTAATTACTGTTATGGCGAATGGATAATAATAATAATCCTTGCATTTGATTTAGTGCCTTATCAAGTCTTCGAGACATCTCAAAGCACTTCACAGAATATACTGTCAAATGAATTGTCTACATATTTTGTGGGTGAACCACGGCAGCCAATTAAATGCTTTTGGTATACGTACACAGCCCTCCATTCATCACATGTTTCTAATGTTTTATTTGATTTGCAGTATCCCAACAAATTACAAATACATTGCAGTTAAACATGTACAAAGAGTATACCATTTACTCCCTTGTCTCATTTCTGGTTCCTGTCTGATGATGTATATTGTGTTGTGCAGAGCATGGGAACCTGTCCTTTAAAACTGTGTTGTGAAAATGACAACATTCTCATAATTATCACTGGTGATTGTCATCACATTTTTATCACATTGTTGTGCTTAACTGGTTGATAACCAATTAACCTCAATTTTGTGAAAACAGTTTGACACACAGCCATTTGTGGCAGCCATTGAACTGGCCTGAACATTTCATTCAGTTGTGTAATTTACGTATAAATGTCAATTTCACTGTACAATGGTAAGTTTTTATTTCAACATAGTTCGGATACAAGAAGGAGAACATTTTTTAGAGTAACATATTTGGAACAATTAAGAAAAGTTCAAAACAGCAAAGACTGTAGGAGTATCGGTAAAATAGGATGACAAGAAAGGTTGAAATGGAGAGAAGATGAAGGCTACAGTTGAGGCTCGGATCACCTATCAAATGACAAGCAATTTTTTGTATTGACACAATAATTTGTTATAGCACCCGTAAAATTGATATGTCTCGAAGCACTTCACAAAATTCCTGGCTAGTATACTTGTAGATTTTGTTCAGGAATGTTACAAAAGCTCCCCAAGCTATAGGATTAGTATTTAATTCTAAGTCAATACAATACAATACAAATTTACAATTATAAAGCGCCTTTCACATTGGGAAGATGTCCCAAGGCATCGCACAGTTTAAGGTTTGCATCGGAGCTGGGTGTGGAGGGAGAGGAAGGTGGCCAAAAGAGTAGTCAAAGAGAAAGATCTTGAGGTGGACCTTGAAGGAGATGAGGGGAGGGGAAAGTCAAAAGAACTCTGGGATGGAGTTCCAGAGAGTGCGGGCAGATATGCTGAAAGCCTGATCGCTGATGGTAGGGCGGTGAGCATGAAGAAGGCTGCTGAGCGGAGGGAGCAACTGGGTTGGTAGGGTTTGAGGAGGTCATGGAGGCACGGTGGAGCAAGACCATTGAGGGATTTAAAGGTTTGAAGGAATGGCTTTGTATTTTTAATATTTTCTTCAATAATAATAATGAGAAGAATCCTTGCGTTTGATATAGAGGTAGAGGTGATTCAAATTTAAAAAAGGGATAAAACATTTGCATAAATAGGTCTGTTTGTTATATAAATGCAATTTGTTGTTGTTGTTTTCACTGGTTAGGGCTGATTTTCATAGGTCCCTCTTCCCTTACCTCCATCATCTCAAAAATAAAGCCCACCACCTGCTCCCTCAACCCCATCCCCACCCCTCTCCTTAGCTCGCATCTCTACCTCCTGGCCCTTCTTTTAACCGACATCATCAACTTCTCCTTATCCACTGGCACTGTTCCCACCCCCCTAAAAACAACTGTCATTACCTCCATTCTCAAAAAAATTTCCCTAAACCCATCACTACTCTCCAGCTATTGCCCCATCTCACACCTCCCTTTCTTCTCCAAGGCACTGGAACGAGTCGTCGCATCCCAGCTTCACTCTTTCCTCTCCTGTCATTCCTTCTACGAACCTCTTTAATTTGGTTTCCGTGCTGCCCACAGTTTGTCAGCCTCCCCAACTCCTCCCTCCACAGGCTGCAGATCATCTAGAACTCTGCAGGCCATGTCCTCTCCCGCACCAGGCTCTGTGACCCTATCACACCACATCCTTGCCCGCATCTCAATGTAACGTGTTGTTGTTGGTTGGGGAGTCCGTAATCAGGGGACACATGTATAACAGTGGAGTCCTGTAGCTTAGTGGTTAGGGCCCTCCCTCGCAAGCAAGAGGACCTGGATTCTATTCCCAGCAGGCGAAACGTTGGGCAAATTTCCTTACTCCACCCGCCTCTGTTCACCTAGCAGTAAGTAGGAACCCGGTTGTTATCGTCAATTGGCAGATCACTTTTCCAGGGGTAATAATCCCCTCAAAAAAATATGTAAAATAATAATTTGGTCACTCAATCCATGACTGTTTGTGGGACACTGCTGTGCGCAATTGGTTGCCGCATTTTGCCCACAAAATATACAGTCAATTCACTTTACAGTATATTCTGTCAAACACTTTGAGACGCGATAAGGCACTGTATCAAATGCGAGGATTATTATTTTTATAACATGGTGAATACGGAATCTAAAAGAGAATTTAGCAAGAACTACTTTATACAGAGGTTAGTGAGATTGTGGAACATGCTGCCTGAAGCGATGATTGAATCAGATAGTGTAGATGCATTCAAGAGGAAGCTAGAACTTCACATGTGGAAGAGGGGATTGGAAGGGTAGGGGAGGGAGTACGGCATGGGGTCTTAAATATACACCTGAACAGGTAGACAGGACCTCAACCAAAGGACATTGTCTCAAATAATGCAGCACACCCCAGTACTGCACCTGTGTGTCCACCTGAATCAGCCTGACATAGAAATTATTTAACATCTGAATGCCTATATCAGTGGTGGCCAACCCATAGCCCGCGGGCCGGAAGTGGCCATCAAGAAGTTGCTCCCCGAAAATTCAAACTAGTCTAGGTAATATGTGTGGTGGTGTGTTTCCAGGTTTTTCTGGATTGAATATTTGTGATTTATAGCCTGTAATTTATTATGCAATAGTACAGGGAGATTATTCAATAGCTACTCAATAACATCTTTATTTTGTTGATACAAGACAATATTAGTCACAGTGGTTTTATAACTACAAAATGTATCAGCAATTTTTTTTTAACATGTACTACTGGTTTGTGGAAAGAACAGCAGATATGTGAACATTTAAATGGT